CTCTTCATTCTCGTGGGTCTTATGGGCGCCTATAAAGAGCACTACTGCATGACTGTGACGTACGCCGTGCTCATGACGATCGCCACTCTCGGCTCCATCGGAACGGCCTCTCAGAACTCCTACTATTGGGCCAACTTTGTCTTCTATCTCATCAGCTGCGGACTCGCCATCGCCTTCGCTATAGAGCTCTACCGCCGAAGACAGTTCCTGTTCGCCAATCCCACGCCTATTGTCATCCAGGCTACCGTTCCCACCACCACAGTCGCCTACACCCAACCGGCGGGTGGCCAGCAGTACGCACAGGCCGCCTACGGACAGCCCGCTTACGGACAGCCGGCTTACGGCCAGGGAGGGTATGGACAACAACAACACCAGGAATACGGAAAACACTATTAAATAACTTATGATTTCTGCATTTATTTGCAATAAAGTTATCTAAAAAACAAAACGCTTTTTATCTCTGTTTCCAAACAATAAATCTCTTGATAAGCAAAACAAACACTTCTTTTGCAACGAAACGAGAAAAATGGACAAAACGGCAGATTTGCGGAATTCAACCGCTTTTAAGGTCAAGAAGTGGACGCTCTTCGCCTTCTGCTTGGTCTCCATCGTCGGCACCATCATCATGGCCGCCCTCTCCTCCATAATCATCGACCACTACGTCGACACCTACGTCGAGGTCAAACAGAAGCCCACCAAAGAGCAGATCCAGTCTTTGAAAGTGAGTCCAAACAACAGTTATTGCGTGTATAACACCCCTCCCTTCCCCTCCCAGACCATGATGCGAGTGATCATCTTCGTGATCACGGCGTACGGCATCCTCTTCAACCTCATGGGTCTCGTGGGCGCCTACAAAGAGCACTACTGCATGACCACCACTTACGCCATCCTCATGACCTTGGGCACTCTCGGCTCCATAGCAACGGCTGTCAACAACCCCTTCTACTTCACAAACACTGTCCTCTACTTCTTGGTGTCGGCGCTCGCCTTCGCCTTCGCTTACGATCTGCGCAGACGCAGACGACTGCTCTTCTCGGCGCCGGTAGTCGTCTCGCAGACGCCGCCAACTGTCGCCCCCATTGTCGTCGTTCCACAGGCGGCACAAGTGGCCAAACAGGCGGACGGACATCAGTACGCGCCGGTCGCGCAGTCCGAAGACATCGCGCCGAACGAGAAGTACGCGGACGAGGAGGCGGCCCACGAGGGGGCGCAGGAGGTGTCGCGCGAGCCCTCCGAACAGTAACTACTAGAGAGTTTTATTTTGCATTTAATTCGTGTTTCCGTTCATTAATTGGCGACAAAAACGCTTTTTATCGCAACAGAGATAAAGAGTTTTTGCGTCTGTTTTGCGATTAAAATCTGTGTTCACTTCAAAAACACTCATATTTTGCATATTTTTATCTCCCGTTCCTTCGCCTCCGCTCTCTCTCCACATATTTCATGTAATCCTTGGGATTAACGCGAGATTATAGCGGAAAAGATTTATTCTCAATAAATACAGTGTTTTTGGTATAAAATTCACATTAATTTGCATTTCTTGCGCTTCAGTTCGTGTCTCCTGTCGGGCGACAGGACGGCGCGCACGGCCTCATCGAACACGTGTTTGAGGCCGCGTTGGGTGAGCGCCGAACACTCCACGTATTTCACGGCCTTTATCTTGTGCTGCACTTTGAGCGCCTGTTCCCTCCGCACAACCGACTGTCCGCTCGCCGCGAGCGCCGCCACTGTCTCCCTGTCGTCCCGGAGGTCGCTCTTCGTGCCGATCAACACGATCGGGACGTCCGCGCAGTGGTGGCGGATCTCTGGCACCCACTTCACCGTCACGTTCTCCAACTGGGGCACAGAGGGGTAGGCGTGTTATTGGGGACAGGGATGCACTCATTCATCAGAGAGACTCACCGAAGACGGAGACACAACCGAAAAGCAGACGAGAAAGACGTCCGTCTGGAGAGAGAAGTCATGTGACGAGAGGTCATGTGACTAAAGACAACTGACCTGCGGGTAGGAAAGCGGTCGCAGGCGGTCGTAGTCCTCCTGACCCGCCGTATCCCACAATCCCAGCGAAACCGTCTGTCCCTCACACGTGACCAGAGAGGAGTAGTTGTCGAAAACGGTTGGCACGTATTCGCCGGGAAAGGAGTCCGTCTTTCGGGAGGAAAGGGATGTCAACACAAACACAAACACCGGAAGCGAACGAACCGTGAATGAGATGAGAAGACACGTCTTGCCGACCGTCCCGTCGCCCACAACCACGCACTTCACGGCCCGGGAGGCGGCTCTCGGCTCCCGGCGCTCACCGACCGTTGCGTTCATTGTGTCGCGTGTCGTGTCGTCTCTCGTGTCGCCATTACTGTCGTCTCTATTGTCTCCTCTCTTTAGCACGTCTTCAGCGCAACCGTCACTCGCGTCCCACACGTGCGCAACGCGTACTCAACGCCACGCCCTCCACAGCGCACGACCCGACAGTCGACCGACGCTTTTGTGTACACTTTTCGCCACATTTTCCGCGGATTTCCGTCTTTTGAACGCCTCTTCAGACTTGGATTTCTTTGCATTCGATGTCTTTCAATGCACTCAAGAGTCGACCCAAAGATGGGCTCATTTTTGGGCGCATTTGTGGCCGAAAATAGTGTCAATTAAAGCGAAAACAGACTGTATTTCTTGGGAAAGACAAACAAAACAAAAACATCTGTTTTTTGGTTCAAAACATTTGATGACGTCTTCTGTGGAAAAGTTTTGCCAACTTTTCGCTCGACTTTTGAATTCATTTCTTGTATTAAAAACTCTTTTTCTGTCGATTTTTTCGGTCAAAGACTTGTCTGTCGATTGGTTTTGGCTCTCATTTCGTCTCAAATTATTTGTTTCACTAATAATTCATTCAATAATTCATTTCAGACTTTATTCACAGAAATCCTAATTATAGTCGAGTTTTGAGCGAAAAATAAAAATTGCTTCAAAAGCGAGAATTCATTACAATTTCATTTATTCAGCACTTTTTGCTGAATGGTCTGTCAATAGGAACGCCTAAAAGACAGAAGTCGTCGAGTGTTTGTCTCTAACCATAAAATGCATAAAATATTTGTCACTTTCAATACAAATACGAAAAAAGCAAATATTTATTCACAACTCTATCGTCTTTAGGCTTAGAATCCGACGAATGACATGAATTTTTTTCTTTTGTCTTTTTCTGTAACTGTTTTCGTGTATAATATGACAAAAAAAAGTAAAACAAAAGGCAAAAAAGTCTTGTCAGAAGTGGGATTCGAACCCACGCCTCCCTAAAGAGACTGCGACCTGAACGCAGCGCCTTAGACCGCTCGGCCATCCTGACTGTGTGGGAACTGTAACTTTAATCGCCGCACAGACTGTCACACACAGAGCGCTGCCTATATAGCACAGAGCGCCGGCAGCTCAGCCTGATTTAAATGCCTTTCCCATTGCATAACAGCGACAGAGAGATAGAGAGGAATGACGTGTTTTTGAGGCCTAAAAATGCTTTACTTTTTTCGATAAACAAAACTTAAATTTGTTTTAATTTTTATGTTTTTAGCGTTTCTTTTGGTTTTCTATTTATTTCACAAAACGTTTGATTGTCTTCTCAAAGAAAACGTTTATTTTTGAAACGCTTTTCAAAGCAAACAAAATGTCAAAAGTTTGTAACGAATTGTGACTTAAATATAGTTTTTGGCATAAAATGAATGAAATATTTATTTATTTTCAAATCAATTATTAATAACTCTTTTTTTCTCATAACATTTGAGACAAAAGTTTACGTGAAATGAGTTCACGTTTTGCCGT